CTACGTGTCTCAAGCCACCCCGACATTCCGAGGACGTGATTTGGGGTGGTAGCGCATTTGTGTTTGACCTGGGGGTTCGCGAAGTCTGCAGGTTTTCCAACCTTGCAACCAGAAGCCAGGATTCACAGCCAAGACGCTGAGAGAAGGGCCGCTTGGGGCTGAGAAGGGGCCCGCTGTTCCTCTGGGAGCCCCGTGGTTGGTCCTCTGGCCCTGCTCGTGCACGCAGGCGCTGCCGAGGCCAAAGAAGGGCTTCGCTCGTTGCTTACCGCTCCTCGTTTCAGCAGCCCGATTGTGTACTCCAGATTTCGTAACAAAGGGAGGGGGGTCTCATTTCGGGGGGGGGGTCTCTTCCAGGCTATCTTGGAGGGCCTGGGGGGGTCTGGGGACGATGTTTTGGAGGGTTCTCCCACGGGGGAGGTCTGAAATGGATTGTCTTGGAGGGTCCAGACCCCCTCCCTTTTATTACGAAATCTGGAGTACCTCTAGGCCTCCTGGGTGGGGTCGGAGTAGATGGGGTCGGAGGATCGCGCCGCATCGCCGATACATCGCCGATGCGGCTCGATGTGGAGCCCGATTTGCTTCACGTCGACGGCGCCGATGCATCGCCCACGTCGACGATGCATCGCCGGTGCATTGCCGATGCATCGCCGATGCATCGCCTATGCATCGCCGATGTATCGGCGATGCGGCGCGATCCTCCGACCCCATCTATCCGACCCATCTAGGAGGCCTCTAGTACCACCTGACACCCTGGAGAAGAGGAGGAGGAGGAGGAGGAGAAGAGGAGGAGGAGGAGGAGGAGGAGGAGGGAGGAGAGAGGGAGGAGGGAGGAGGGAGGAGGGAGGAGGGAGGGGAGGAGGGAGGAGGGAGGAGGGACACCCTGGAGAAGAGGAGCTGAGGACTGGCTGCAGGGTGCAGAGACTTCGTCCGCACAGCCCGTCGGCCCCCGAAGGACGTGCCCTGGCCGGCGCTTCGCGGACGATGTGATGTTGGCACTGTGGCCAGAGCGCCGCAGCAGTCCCACAGCCGATTGGCCTTCTGGCGTTTCGTGCCGGCCTGGCAGAAACAAAACCACACATTGGCAAACAAGCATAGCACAAAAAAACAAGAACAGGATATATACCCAACCCCTTTATGCACGCGAGGCGCCTCTTTTTGTAAACGATCCATGCCAAGGAACACGTTGCGAAATATGCAGCACTCGGGAAGGCGTCGCGACACAATGTCGGGCCACGCGCGTCGCACACTTGCGCAGCATAGTACGGGGGACAAGTGGAGAAGGAGGAAGAGGAAGGGAGGACAAGGATAATGGAGAAGGAAGGGGATGACAGATTCTAGACGCGTCGCGTGATCCCACCAGCCCTGGATTGACGTCCCGCTCGGATATGCGCCCCTCTTGGTCGTACTGATCGGGTGGGCATGCTCGCGCCATTTTGGCTGCGTACGGCCTCCACGGTGTTTGGTGTCAGACCCTTTGGATGCGCCGTTGCATGGTGCTTCCAGGTGCTGTCCGCAGACTCTCTGGATTCACGTTTGGCTCAGACACCCTCGGTTCCGCCACCGCTGTTTGGGCAACCTGCAGACCTTGACTCCAGTCAGTCTGTACTACCTGTCAGACTCCTCGGATTGGCGTCCCGCTCGAATCCGACTCCCACTGGGTCGCTCGATCTGTTGGGAACCTCGCGGCATTTTGGCTGCGTTCGGCTCCACGGTGTCTGTTGTCAGACTCCCTGGATTCGCCGTTGCATGTCTCTCAGGGGCTGTTCCGCAGACTCCCTGGATTGCACGCTGGCAGACGCCCTGGGTAGCTGCCGCCCGCCGCCTGACCGCGGCCCGCGCGCGCCCGCTCCGCTTGTCGCGGCCGCAGCCCGACCGTGACCGCCTGCCGCTGGCGCTTCCGCCTGCGGCGGTAAAAAAAAGTGATCCCACCAGCCCATCTAGAAACAATGCCCAGATTTGTTGTCCCGATCAGGAATGTGGAGGAGCATGCAGTGGAATAAAGAGCTGGGTAAGACGTCATACCCCAAAAGGGGGAGGATAGAGGAGGAATCGGAAGAGGAGCAGGAGGAGGAAAAGTAGGGAGAATGGGAAGGGGAGGATGGAGGAGGATGGAAGAGGAGTAGGTGGATGAGGAAAAGGCGGAGTAGGAGGAGGAGGAGGAGGAGGAGGAGGAGGAGGAGGGCGAGCAGAAAGGCCAGAGGCCTTGGATGCCTCTCGGAGTCTCTTCGGATGTCTTTCGAAAGCTTTTTGGGGTCCTCCTGGGGCGTCTTATGGGGTCACTTGGCAGCCCCAGTGGCCTCTTGGAGCATCTTGGGTGCCTTTGGGGGAGCCTCTTGGAGGCATCTTGGGGGCCTCTGGGAGATAATCAATCAAAGGAGGGGTCGTACTGAATTTGCGCTACCCCCCCCCCCAGGAGGCCAAAATGTGGCCAAAGCAATAGCACAGTCAATGGTTTGGGCCTTCTCGCCGAGGCCAAGCAAGACCCTCCGACACCAAGCGCCCCCCCCCGCCCAGGTCCAGAGGGAGGGGGTTAGGGGGAGCGAAGGGGAAGGAGGGGGTTGGAAGAGGAGACTGTTTAAACCG